ATATATATATATATATATATATATATATATATATATATATATATATATATATATATATATATATAAATAAAACCACAACAGTCTGTTTCATCTGTATACAAATCGCGACCGGCCCTTTAAGCCTGGTTCACATATACGCCTGCGACGTACCGGCAACGTACCGGCGACGTACCGGCGACGATACCGGTGCTAGCTTTAAAACGTAAATTATGTGAACATTTGTTCGCCGATTGCCTCCAGTGCCTCAGTTACATCGGCGGTAGGCCGGGAAAGTTGAGTTGAGTTCAACTTTGCCGGTATTTCGGCGGCAAGTAGAGGCATAATGATACAGTCGCAGGCATGCCGCAGGCATATGTGAACCAGGCTTTAGAATACAGTAACTACTTACGTGCAATTCCTGGTTCCATGTTGTAACATTATTATATTCAACTGGACGAACAGCAAGCCTCGTATCTATGAAACCTTCAACAAGTCGAAACTGCTTTTGAACAATTGATAACATTTTATCTGGAATATCTTTCAATTGGAAAGGCGTGGAAAGGTTCTTATCCGGATCTTCTACTGCAGATTCTTCTTGAAGGTCAATTCCATTCTTTTGTAATACCATAGCAGTTATTAAACACTCGAACAAGCGACAAAGTACTTCAACGTCACTAAGTTTAAGATGTTGTTTCACATTTTCAACAAGGTACACCAAATTATTAAGTAAAACCAAGGTCTCTGGCAATCGTTCTTTTGGAAATTCTTTGGGGCTAAAACAATACAGGAAAAATCTTATACAATTTTACTGGTATTACTTGGAAATATTTTAAAATTTCTAAAATAACACTTTAAAGCTTTTGACTTTGTATTGGTTAAAACAATGCTATATGACGTTAATTTGATTGTTCGGTACCAAGTTTTTCTTCGGCAAAAAAGTCTTAAAGAGTATATTTGAAATATTTTAAAAGTAAGGTTAACTTCATTTGAGTTTACTATCTTCACGAAAGTACGAGAAAGACAAGGGCTTTACTTCTCATGCTGGTATTGGTAAAATTTTATAACGTTTTCTTGAACCAATGTAAAGAGATTAGGTAAAACTGTACAAACATGTAGTGACAAACTTTATGGTTTCCAAAACAGATTAATAGGTGCTTTTCTCATAATTTACAGCCGGTCTTTTTCCATAAGCCTATGGTAACATATTGAGCGTCTTGCTCAAGGCGGCTATACACGATGCAAATTCTCGCGCAAATTGTCTACGTCACGAAACCATCGAAATAACTAAAACGAAACAACTGGAATTGCTGGAATAATCAAAGCGGAACCGAAAGATGGATAGTTTTTTCATTTGCTGTCAACCAATTGTATTTTCCCATGGAAAAGCACGTTTTATAGAGTTTATCTGGAAGCTGTAAAAGAACTGAATAGAAAGGCAGGGAAAGCCAAATTTATAAAGTTTATAATTCATGAATTAATTTATAAATACTAGATTTCTACAATTGCTGGAGTTAATTACTGCGTTCCGAGATAATTTGGTACCTAGTATAAAAGTTAGAACATGCAATTTGCCAACGTAAATTGATATCATTAAAAAGACACTTTCAATTCAGAAAAAAGGGCACTTTCAATCCAAATAGGTGCACTTTTTCCATTTTAGAAAAGTGTGGGAGGATGGGCACCTGCATGTGTCAATAAAAATTTCATTTTTTATTTGTTAGACACTGAATTGTAGTTAGTCTAAAACACCTCTAATGTAATATAAACATTATTTCAAATTTAACAATTTCAACTTTTTGTAATATAATTTTCCGGGAAATTTCGCTGAAATAGGGCCTACTTGCAATTTGACCAAAAGTTTATTTTACCAAATGTTTCACAAAAAATACTACATTTTAACGAAAGCAAATGAGAAAATGCATTGGTTGTTCTGACGGTTCCGGTCGTTTTGATACAGTTCCGGTCAAGTTGTTTTGCCGGTTCCAATAATTTCATTTCGGTTGTTCTGGTTGCTTCGTTTCCTTCCGTTTCAGGTTTTAGCAAATGTCGTACGCATTAACCATTGCGTTCAGTACACAGGTAGGCTTATATAACAATGCTTCTAATGGACAAACTTCTTGCAAGCAAGTTCCATCAAGCACTGCACAAATTAGAAGTGGGTCCTAGTTTTAGCAAGCTTGCAGGGATTTTTCTTCAGCATTGCAGAGTGTTATGTACATTACTTTTGTGCAACTTGTGTGGCAGTGTTTATACTCATGAAATGGCTTTCAAAAATTGACTATACACTTAGTGATAATATGATAATACCTCAAGCATGACAAGGTTTGGTTGATTTCTTTAAAAAATAATGCCAGGTCCTTTACCTGAAAATGAATAAAACAAGACTAATATTATACACTGCTTGAAGACAGATTCCTACCAAATTCGTGTTGGTTTATATATAGACATGGAGCATCAGGCTTAATTCTTAAAACGTTTTATTTAGTGTGAATTTGAAGGCTATTCAAAAAATATCAAATTATTTTGTAAAATTGCCAAGAAGTTCGGTAAGGCATACATAAACATTTCATTTTTTCTAACTGTCTTGGTTTGTCCATGCTTATTTAGAGTGATTATATAAACAATATTAATTTATTGTTCCGGCGAAAGAACACACAACAGTGATCACGCAAATCCGAGTCAAATTCGATAGTGGGAATTAAGGTGTTGTAAAATCACACGGTTTGTAGGATTCCTTATTCGTGTATTGTGTTCCATAGCGGGAAATGTCGTGCATACGATATAATAATGGGAGACATTGAGTTCTGATAGAAAAGTAGAAATTTGCTTTTATTTGTTATTTTAATGTACTTACAAAACGTTGTGTGTATGAACTGCTTGTTTTTGTATCGGGCAGTAGCTTTCTCATTGTGACGCACAGTTCCAGACAAGAAAAGCATCCGTTCTTCAAAAGATCTCCATATATCTCAACAGGACATAGCCTCAAGAATGTACGCGTTAACAACCGATCCATGTGAAATATATTCTTCAAAACTGGTAACATTGCGAAAAGTTCGCTACGTAAAACAAAGAACAAACATTAAAACTCTAAAATATAAAAAAACAAAATACACAGCAAAAAATCATTTTCTAATTATTATTTAAATATTGAGAAAAAATTCTTAAAACAAAAAAATTAATAAGTTAGTTTAACTGTTTCTTAAAGGGTATGGGCAACAAAAAATTTTATTGATTTTATTGCTTCATCTGAAAGAGCATGAAAAAATAAGCCGATTGGCCGTTTACTGCTCTATTCTA